CCTGGCGCAGGGAACCACGCTGGCTGGGTGTCCGAAGGCCGTGCCGGCCCCGGGGAACCCCAGAGCTCACGGCACAGACTCTGCAGCCTCAGGCCCTGTCTGTAGCAGGAACGAACGGGGGACAGAGGGCCCTGGTCAGTGCTGTGGGTGGGCCGACACCAGCTCAGCGGCCGGGCCCCAGTGTGTGGGCAGCAGCCCAGCTGAGCCTGGAGCATCGTCCACTTGTTCCACAAAAAGGCACCTACCCAGAGGTTTCCGGAAGCCTTGCTGCCGAAACCTCTGGATGGTCACCCAGGCCTGCCAGGCCCTCCCTCACACCCCTGCTGGGCGGGCGTCCTGAGGGGCTGGGCAGGCGTCCTCTCAGCCACGGGGCCCAGCGGGGCTGCCCTTCCTGTTCAGCTGAGCCCCAGGCCAGGGAGGCTCCGTGGGAGGAACAGTCCAGAGGGCTGGGCCGCACAGTGCTCAGCGCAAACCCAGCTCGGTGGCCCTTGCCCAGGACCCTCAGGTGGGAGACAGGGCCTCGTGCCCCCAGCACCTCACCCACTGGGCCCCGGCAGGCAGCTGGAGGTGGAGGGGAGGGAGGTGGATCGTAGGGGAGGGGAGTGATGGGCAGGTGCCAAGGGCAGTCCCTGTGCCCAGAGCCCTCACCCAAGGGTGTGACTTTCCTCCGGCCCAGGACCCCACTGCTCCTGAGGACACAGGCCGGAGCCAGCAGGTGGACAGGTGAGCAGGACTCTCTGCCATTTGAGCCCCAGGTTGTGCCCTGAGTCAGGGCAGAGAGCGGACCCTGACAGAGCCAGTGCCCTGACCTGAAGGGGGAGCCCCCAGCCCAGGGGGACGCAGTGGCCTCCTGATCCAGGCTGGTGCTGTCCCGTGACTGGCCAGAGCCCAGAGACGGTGGCGAGAGGAAGGCACAGGCCACGCAGCTTGAATCACCGTGTTTTACTGAGTGCGCAGGTCCACTGGGCACCTGGGCGCGTCCCGTGGCAGTAGAACTTCCCAGAACTTTCCACATGCGTCCCTGCCACCAGACCCCACGCCCGGAGCTCCCCGCGGGGAACCCACGCCGACCGTCCTCCGGCGCGGGCACCAGCCTGACAGTGAGCAGAGCGAGTGAGCGTCTCGCTGGTCCCAGAAAACTGGACCCGGTCCCTGGGCGTCTATCCTTGGAAACGACCGTGCGGTCGAGACGCACGCGCGGTGGCGGCGCGTTCGCGCGGAGAGGCCCGGTCGCCGTGGGGCAGGGCACCCCCGTGGCCCGTGCGCGTCCCACGCAAGGCATTATGAAATATTCTTTGGAGCATGAACAGAGGGCGAACACAGCCAAGGCAACAGCGCGGGGAGGGGAGCTCGGAGGGGCGGGCGGCGCGGGCGGGTCCAGGCCAGCGGAGGTGCACGCCGGCCCCCAGGTGTGCGGCGGCGGCGAGGTCCACCCGCTGGGGCCTCCTGCGAACCACCGGCGGAGGCGGCGGGCCCGGGTCGGTGCCTGGAGGTCAGCCGGGGCACCTGGGCGGCCTCAGTGTTTTCCTGTCGACGTGCATTAAGGCAACAACTTTATGAAACCCGGGCAGAGCTGGGTGCAGCACAGCGACTGCAGACACCTACCCGGCAGCCCCGGGCCGGGCCACCCCGGGAGGGTCCCCTCCTGTCCCGACGTCCTCCTCCGTGGGGTCACCCTCGCAAGTGTCCAAGAGGAGAGACCACCCAACTCCTCCCCAACAAATGCCTTCGAAGGCTGTGAAGAGGGTCTCACCTCCCAAGGAGCCTCCCTGCCCACTCTCTACCCTGTTTCCTCCAGCCTCCTGCCCCTGCACAGCAGCCTGGGCATCTGCTGGCGCCCGGCCCTCACGGGCTTCCGCGGGCTCGGGGGCTACCCTGCGCCCTGCCCGGCAGCCGGCTTCCCAGCTCCCGTGGAGAGAGCAGAGTACAGCCCTGACCCCAGGGAGCTTTTCCGTTGTTCCCACTCTGCTTGGCGGGAGCCCCTGGAGCCTGCCCCTGGGGACACGCACCAGGAGGGCGGCTGCCCGGGCTCTGGAAGAAGGCGGCCACCCCGCTGGGCCCCAGCAGCCTTCCTGCCTCAGGCCAACTTCAGCACACACAGGAAGGCGGCAGCTCCAGGGGTCACGGAGGGCGGGCCTGTGCCACGCCCACGGAGGGCCGCTGAGGACCATCTGTACATTATTTACAATTCGGGGGGGATATGAAATAGATACAAACCCCAGGGTTTCTGCAAAGGCTCCCGCACCCAGCACTCTGGGCTTCGGGAAGCATCTAGAAATGTCTCCGCTCTGAGTTCTTTCCGCAGACAGCGGGGGCCAGGCTGCCTGATGGGGGGCGTTCCCTGACTGTGGGGGCCACAAACCCACGACCTCGGGGAGGGGGGCAGTCGAGAGGGAGAAGGTAGGTTGATGAGTTAACACGTGGACAACGCGTGACACTGTGGGTGACGACAGCCCCGGGCTGTCACGTGGCAGGGGCCTGCGGAGCAGCGACGCTGAGCGGGCAGCTGTGGCCTCTGGTGCGGACAGGCTGGGAGGGAGCCCTCTGCCACCTGGCCAGTCCCTCCACCCTCCAGTGGCCCAGGGTGAGACTGGCTCATGATTCCACATGGACATAAGGGGGAGATGCTGGGCCAATAAAGGGGGAGGGCAGCACCCCGCTTGGCGGTGGTGAGGCCAGGCCACATGGCCAAGGGGCACAGGGAGCCAGCCAGCACCTCACGTCACATCTGGATACTCCCACAGATGCGGGACCGCCCTGGCCCAGCCCAAGCCGTCTCTGGGCATTGGCTAAAGAAACACGCTGGACAGCTTCTGACCAGCTGAGGGGAGGACAGCATGGGACCTGCGTGGGCTCCAGTGGGCCCTCTGCCACTTCTGCCCAGGAGCCCGGGATGACCAGGCCCCACCCCAGCTTCAACCTTCCAGGACCAGTGCAACTTCTAAAGTCCCTAATTCCTCATGCCTTAAGCCAGAGGAGAGGTCGAAGGGCTGCCAAGCAGACGTGGTACACGTGTGTGCCTGTGTGCTTGAGCACACATGCATGCATGTGTGTACATATGTGTGAGGGTCTCGTGTGCAGCTGCATGCATGTGTGTGAGTGCATGTACACCTGTGGGTACACGTGTGCGTGCATGTGTGGGGTACGTGTGTGTGCTTCTGCATACGTGTGTGAGTGTGCGTATGTGTGGGCATGTATACATGCACATGTGTGCTTGTGCACATTTCTGCATGCATGAACATGTGTGTAGTATGTGTGCCTCTGGGTGTGCCCTGTGTGAGTGTGTGCTGCATGCACACAGGCATGTGAGTGCAGGTGTGTGTCCGTGGCATGGGGTGTGTGCTCCAGATAACACACATGCTCGCCTCAGGAATGTGTGCCCTCAGCTACACTCTCGTCACACACAACCCCCCAAGACGGTGACATGTCCGGGTGCCTCGTCCCCAGGCCACACGGCAGCTCCCACACCTGACTCCTGGGATGCCCTGGCCCTGAGCGTGGACAGCAATGGGGCCCCCACCCTGGGCACTGCCCTCCAGCTGCCCAGCCAGCAGCCCCAGTAGAGATGGGTCCCGGGTGTCCTGGCAAGGGTGGGGACAGCTGGAGTGACCACTGTCGTGGGTAGGAGACTCCGCTCCCAAACACCTCCGAACAGCAGCACCCGGACACCCAGGGCCACGTGGCTCAGCCGCTGCTCTCCTAGTCCTTCCCAGAGGGCAAGAGGCCTCTCCCGCTGACCGCCCAGGTCCAAGTCAGTATGGGCTCGAACAGGCACGAGGACACAGCGGAGACTCTCCCTGGACCCGGTGTTGGGGCAGGCGCCACATGGTGGCCATGGCGGGGCCCGGCCCTGCACACATGGGGTCACTGCCTCAGGCAGTGCCCGGTGCCAGGCTGGCTGTCCATCACCCAAGGGCCAGGCGCCCTGGGCTGCCTGCTGGGGGCCCACCAGCCTCTGGGCTCCTGGCTCAAAGCTGCTGCTCCCAGGGCCCAGGGTGGGGACCAGTGTCCCTGACACAAGACTCCAAGAGGCCACAGCCAAGGGACCAGTCAGTAGAGGGGAGCGGGTGGGGTTGGTTTCAGGGGTTCGGGAGAGACAACCCACAGGACAGAGCTGCCTTTGTCTCAACTCTCCGGGACTTTGAAAGCTTTTGCCAGTGTTTACGCCTTCGTCCAGCCCTGGGTCCTGCTGGGGCACCAGTGGAAGACGGGCAAAGGACCCCACGAAGGACGAGGGAAGAATCAGCTCACCACACCCACTCCGTCAGGGACCCTCCTGGTGCCAGCCCAGCCCAAGGCGCTGCTGCCACCCACCCAGCACCACCCCTCACACGCAGGTCTCTGTAAGGTGCTGACTGGTGCCCGGCCAGGGCAGAGCAGAGAGGATAAGGGGGTACCCACTCCCAGATCTCCGAGAGCCGGGAGAGCCCCCGAGGACCCCTCTCAGAAACCTCTGGAGCAGGCACCCCCACAGGACTGAGCCTGGGAGGCCTGAGGTCACCATGCTCTGTGTGGTCCCGAGGCCTCCCCCTCATCTCTGGCCAGGGCCCTGGACGCAGGGCGGCTCCCACCAGAGGACACCGGGACACAGCGGGGAGGGACGATGCTGACCGGCAGCTCTCTGGATGGGCACTGGGAGGCCAGGGGCACCGTCCCAGCCATGCCCACAGACAGATCCTCACAGGGACAGGCCTGCCCTTGCTGGGCACCCTCACCCCGCTCCCTGACCCTGCGCCTCCAGCCTGCCACCAGGGGCCTGTCCTTCACCCTCACCCGCCGGCTCCCACGGGGACCAGCGGTCTACAGAGTGGGCACAGCTGCCCGGCCGCCCCTTGTTGGAAAAGGACTTACGTCAACCTTCACCACAGAGACCGAGGAGCCCCCGCCCCCGCCTGCCGCTGTGTCCTGCAGGGGCACCCACCGCGCTGCTCCAAGAAAAGGCCCGAGGGTCCCTCCTCAGAACCTCCAGGCCGAGAGTCCAGGAGAGGCCGGCAGGGGCCTCACTTCCGGGGCCCGGCCCAGCCCACGTCGCCGAAGGGGCCCTCGCCCGTGGCCGAGCGGGGCGGCGGCCCGCACGGGGTGCAGAGGTCCGAGTCCGTGTCCGACTCGCCCTCCGCGATGTAGGGTCTGACTTTGGCGCAGGGCGCCACGGCGGCGTAGCAGCTGTTGAGAGCGTCCAGGTTCTCCTTGGACTGGGAGATGCTGAAGCCGCTGAAGGAACGCTCCAGCTCCTCGTGGTCCACCGACGGGATGGAGATGGACGTGTCGCTGTCCCGCAGCGCGCCCTCGTGCGGCCGGCCGGCCGCCGCCGCGTCCTCGTGCCGCAGGAACTCCGTGCTGGCCCGGTGGCCCCCGCTGTAGGCCGACAGCGAGCGCTCGTGGGCGGGCGGCGGCGGGATGCGCACCAGTGGGCCGTGGTCCCCCACGGGCGAGGCTCCGTGGCCCTGGCGCGGGTGGCCCTGCTGCTGCCACGAGGTGGAGGGTGGGCACTGGGTGGGGGGTGCAGAGAAATTCTTGTGGCCCACGGAGCTGGTGGAGCGGACGAGCTTCACGATGCAGCCGCTGCGGTCCCCGTGCTCGCGGCTGTCCTCGGGGCTGTGGTACGGGGGCGCCGGCTCCGGCTCCTTGGCCCCGAAGTAGGCCTCCGTCTCCGAGGGCGGGATCCCCATGCGCTGTGTGTAGATGCTGACCAGGAAGTCCAGCTTCTTCTCCATGGACAGAACCTGCAAAAGGGGATGCTGTGCAGGCTGCTCCCTGAGGCGGAAACCTGGGGAGGGGACCTGGCTGCTCCCTGCAGAGGTTGGGGTACCCTGGCTGCTCCCTGCAGAGGTTGGGGTACTCTGGATGCTCCCTGCAGAGGTTGGGGTACTCTGGATGCTCCCTGCAGAGGTTGGGGTACTCTGGCTGCTCCCTGCAGAGGTTGGGGTACTCTGGCTGCTCCCTGCAGAGGTTGGGGTACTCTGGCTGCTCCCTGCAGAGGTTGGGGTACCCTGGCTGCTCCCTGCAGAGGTTGGGGTACCCTGGCTGCTCCCTGCAGAGGTTGGGGTACTCTGGATGCTCCCTGCAGAGGTTGGGGTACCCTGGCTGCTCCCTGCAGAGGGGCAGAGGCCATGGGAGGCAGACTCCCCAGCAGCTCAGCCTCTGGCCCCACCGATCACTGTGTGTGGCCTCAGATGCTGGCCCTGGACCCTCCTGCTAACCTGGCTGCCCTGCTGCCCACCGCGGCCCTCAGACCTGTCCCCACAGAAGGACGACGGCCCCGCCCCCCTCGGCTGCCAGAGGCAGAGCCCAGTGGTCCTTGGGTGCGGACTCCGGGGGCTCACTCCCCCGGCGGGCACTGGGGACGAGGCCTCGGTGTGACAGGGCCACCCACAGGCCCAGTACGCGGCGTTTCTGTGTCCCCCACTCGGGGGAGGGGGTGTGAATGGTCTCCTGGCCCTGAGGGTCTGTGGCCACAGAAGAAAAAGTGTCCCAGATCAGGGACAGGCTCAGGGGTTGTGAGGGGTCTGGATGCAGCACCCCGAGCTATGATGGGCCCAGAAGCTTGAGGACCCCTCCGGCGTGTGCACACCCAGACACCCCCAGGCTAAGGGCAGGGCGGCCCTCCTGGCCTCTCCCACCTGCTTCTCCACCTTGCCCAGCCGGCCCATCATGCTGGGGTCCTCCGGCAGCTCGGCTTCGGCTGGGCCCTTGGTGCGGTCCTTGTCTGTCATGGCCGGGCCCCGCCCCACGATCTGGTCCACTCTGCCGGGAAGAGACCCCCCGCAGCATGAGTTCCAGTGGGAGGGGCAGCCCAGGTTCCAGGCCGCCCCCAGAGCGGGCTGGGGGGCAGCAGGGGCCAGGTGGCATCAGGCCTGGTTCTGGACGCCAGGGCCCGCGCCCTGTCCACCCCTTCCCCGTGGGCCGGCACAGGGGTGAGGAGGCACTCGGAGGTGTCGGGGCCATTCACCCCTCAGCTCTGCCCCTGCGTGTTCTGCCCCCCAGCCCTGCCCCCACCCGAGCTTCCCTCCTTCATAATGTGCCACTGAGCCCTCCGCCCAGCCGGTCTGGTGGGGACAGTTAACCATCTGCAGCGGGAACGAGAGAAGCAGGGAGCAGGGACCGCGGCTGAGGCTCCATGCACCAGGACAGGGAGCAGGACACAGGCCAGCACAGAAACTGCCCACGCACAACCATAGAGGGAACAGACAGCCGCAGCCAACCAGAGAGAGGGGCTTTGTGTGCTTGCATGTGCGTACACGGAGCACATGTGTGCGCATGTACATGTGTGTGCACTGTGTACACCATGCACCTCTACGTGTGCACGCGCATGCTTTGTGTGCACTGTTTCTACGTATGCATGTGTGCGTTGTGTACACTGTTCACATGTGTGCATTGTGTATGCGTATGTGTGCATGTTTGTGCCTGTGTATGTGTGTGCTTGGTGTATGTGCACGTGTGCAGAACGCAGCTGAGCTTCTCTCAGACGAGACCTTCAGTCGTGATGCCAACAAGAGGAGAAAGCAGTGTCCTTCAGGGAGGAGCTTCTGTTTGACCAGCGAGTATCTCCTGACCCCATGCTGAGCAGGAAGGGCTCAGAGGGGCCGCAGAAGCTCAAGTGTGGGCCCTCACTCAGAGTCAAGGGCCTGGCTGTCTGCAAGCGACGGGGTGGCCGCTGCGAAGCCACTGGGCAGACAGCTCTGGAGCCGGGGAGCAGCCGCGCACACAGTGGCCCAGCCACACAGCCTCTGCCTTGCCTCTGGTCTGGAGCCCAAAGCCCGCTTCTCAGGTGTGGAGTGCAGGGCCCTCATGAGCTGGGGCCACACCTGGGCTTCCTTCCTCACCACAGGGTCCCCTGTCTGCCTCTGATGGGGGACTTGGGGTGATTTTTCTTTGTTCCAGGAAGCAGAAGAGGGGTTCAGGCTTGCATCAGCCACGGTGCAGCCCCTCATGCTCCGCTGGGCTCCATGCACACATGCACCCAAGGGCCGGCGGGGGTATGGGGGCGGCGGGGGACCTCGGCTCCAAGCAGACACCAGTGGAAAATAAACAGGGAGAAGGGGTTCTTGGTGTTCCCCGTATCCATACAGTCCAGGCACAGGGGCTCGGCACCTTCAACCTTGCCACATGACGGCCGCCGGCCTGGCTAGTCCCCATGGGAGCCTTGGCCAAGGGCTCAGCCTGCTGCTGGGGGCGGGGTGCTGAGAGAAGGTCCCCTGAGGACCCTGAGCTGCCCTTCCCATGGGCCTTGGGCTGGGGGGTTGGGCTTAACTCTGTGCGCCGAGTGTCCCCCTAACCCCGTCTCTGTGTGACTGTGAGGCTTCTGGCTGCAGTTGTCCGGGAGGCCGGCGGAGCTCCAAGGGAGCAGCAGGGCCTCCCCGCTCATGAGTCTGAAGCCCAGCTCCGCCCCTGCAGCAGCCCCAGGTGCTGCTTCCTCGGGGCTGGGGGACACGGCAGTCTGGGGCTGCCTGGGGTCAGCCTCTCCCCCGAGAAAGCCGGGCTGAGATTCCTGACACGCTGACCTTGGCGTCTGCACCCCTGGGCCCCTCTGCTCCTGAGCTGTCCTCACCCTCACCTCCCTGCTGCAGAAACTCCGTCCTCCTGGGACCAACCCGACCTGCCGGAGGGGGATGCACGGTCCCGGGGAGGCTCCGAAGTCTGAACTTCTCACCAAAGAACCTGCGTGTGTGAACCCACCTCAGTGCGCCCTCACCACCATGTCCTCATCAGTCACACCAGCCGTGCTGCTGGCGGCTAGAAATAGGACACCAGGGGCCCGTGCCTCCCTGGGCACCTGACTCCTATTTATCCACAAGCGCTAAAGGCAAGAGAAGCCTAGGACGGGCTCAGAGCCTCGTAGGGCCCAGGTCAACCCTGCGAGTGGGCAGGTGCTGGGGTGTGTCTGGCTTGAGGGCTGGGCGGCAAGGACAGCATGGGCCCTGGGTCCCTGAAGTCCCTCCCTGACCTCTGGATGCTCCTGACCTCGCAGTGCTGGCCTCTCCTCTGCCCCGGGAGCCCCCACCCCGAGGAGACGCAGGGTGTCCTCGGAAGGCCTCCCCAGGACCCTGCCCAGGGGAGCAGCCCCTGACAGCACACCGCCCGCAGAGCAGCGCCTCCCCCTGGCCTGGCTTCGTCAGTGCAGGGAAAGGCCCCTCCATCCCGTGGAAGCGCCGTGCGGGTCAGCCGTCATGTGGCCTGGAGCGAGGGGCTGGCCATTCCACAGACACAGGCAGGAGGGGCGGCATCCTGACCTAGGTGAGTACTGGGGTGACTCTCTCGGAGGGGCCGTGGGTCCTTTGGTGGGGTACTTCTTGTGCCGGGGAGTTGAAGGGGGTGGGGGGCCCACAATCATATCTATCCTGGCAAGTAAACAAGAAAAGAGACACCAGCGGACGCTTCGTGAAGCACCACGAGGGGTCAGCTGGGGACGTGCAGAGACGGAGGAACCACCCGGCCTGAAGCGATAGACACTCTGACAACTGTCCACGCGCAGTAACACAGTGGACGCCACGCTCGCTCGTCCTTCCCGAGGTCGAGCGGGCACCGCACGGCACGGCTGCATCACGGCCGTGCCCCGCCGCCTGGTGAGCGTGCACGTGTACAGGGCAAAGGGCAGCGGGCCCAGCCCAGAGGCGGCAGCTTGGACAACACTCAGGACTGCTGGCCAGGGACAGATGCCCGGCTCCTTGGGGAGAGCTTAGCTCTCCAGACAGGAAGGGAAGGAGATAGAGTTTCGGACAGAGGGCCTGGTGAGCACCACCGCTGCGGTGAGGTGTGCGAGGCGGGCCCAGCAGGCAGACTGTTCTCTCACACGCACACACACACACACGTCTGTTTATGTACACATGGTCACACGCACGCTCACACACGCCTGCTTACAAACATAGGCAGACTCACACACTCATATGTACACTCACAGCCTGCTTATGCACACATGGGCACGCTTGCAGTGGAGTGCACACTCACACATGTTGCTCACATGCACCCTTGCACATGTATGCACATTCACACGCCTGCTGTGTTTGTACACACTTGCATGTGTTTGCTCTCACACACTCACACATTCCCCAATGTGCACAATTGCACACATTTGCTCACACACAAACATGCACACACATGCATGCACCTATATACATGCACACAGAGACCTATACCATGTGCACTCACATGTGATGCATGCACACACATGTGTGTGATTACACTCACATACACAAACATGCTTGCCCATCATCGCGAGGGCAGGAGGGAAGAGAAGGGAGAGAAAACAGAGATGTTGAACACAAACACGACAAAGTCCATGTGGGGCCGAGAGGAAGGGCCCAGGGGTGGCAGCAAGCGGCTGGCCACCATGCCCCTCACAGCCCTGGGCACCGCTCCACCTCTGGGGGAGGGGGGCGTGCAATCCCCCACCCTGGTACCATCTCCCCAGTTTGTGGCGTGTTGGCCTTGGCCAGGAGGACCGGCCTCCACGCCTGGGGCCGGGGGCCGCCCTTGCCTGGACTGCAGGTTTTTGATGCGGGACAGCATGTCCAGGTGGCCGGCCGAGTACTGCTCGATCACGTCCATGACGTCGTAGGGCCGCAAGCTCTCCTTGAACTTCCGCTTGGACACCAGGAACCTCATGACACTGAGGGGGATGGGCAGGGGCCATGAGCCCCAGGAGAGACCACCACAGGCCCCCCTCCAAGAAGGGCCAGCCACAGCGTCCACCTGCCTGGGGCCCTCCCAGCACCTCTGAGAATGTGTCCCTGTCGTCGGGGCCACCCTCCCGCCACGCACGCAGCTGCTCCTAGGCCCAGCTGGGACCCCTGTGGGGGCAGCTCCTGGCTGTCCACTGGCAGCTTCGGGCGACAGGCGGGCACACGGCACACTGTGGTGCAGTGGTTCTCAACCTGTGGGTCGCGACCCCTTTGCGGGTTGAATGATCCTGTCACAGGGGTTGCCTAAGGCCGTCGGAAAACACCTATTTCCGATGACGATTCGTAACAGTAGCAAAATTACAGTTACAAAGTAGCAACGAAAATAATCGTGTGGCTGGGGGTCACCAGGACATGAGGAGCTGTGTTAAAGGGTCGGCATCGGGGAGGTCGAGAACCACTGCTGTGGTGTGAGCCACGGGAGCTGGGACCGAAGGGGTCAGCCACAGGGGTCCCCCCGAGCACGTGCCCTCACACAGCCCCCCAAAGCCCTGCATCCCAGGGACAGAGTGACCTCCCCCTTTAGGGGCCCTGGGGGGTGCTCTCGCCCCAGACACCGGGGTCACTCACCATACGGCCCGGATGCTGACTTTGAGGCCCGGGGTCAGGTCCTCCGTCACAAACTCGCAGGTACAGCTCTTGTCATCCACGGGGTCCTCGCCGGGAAGACTGGCTTCTGGGTGAAAGGGACACAGCCCACGAGGGGCGGAGGGCCAGTCCTTGGGTGCCGTGGCCCACACTCGTCCGAGAACCCCTGCACAACCCCGGGCACCGAGTGCCCACCTGCTCTAGAGTCCACTCTGTTTTTCCCAAACGCGGTGGGGGCCGTGGCCTGCGGGGGTGACCTGAGGGTCGGAGGGGCATCCCTGCGAGTGGATGGATGGAGGGCCAGAGTGGGGTGTGTCCACTCCGCGTGAAGGGGATGTCACGCTGACCTCTGCCCTGGGAGGAGCCCAGGAGACACTCCGTGAGCAAAGCCGGACACTGCAGCTCGGATGCCAGGTGGCCCAGCTCTGGGTCTAGGGCAGATCCCGGAGGAAGGCGGGCCAGTGACTGCTCACGGGGGCCCTTCTGGGGACACAGTGAACGTGCCCAACATCCCTGAACTGTTCATTTCATTTATTTATTGTTATCCTCACCCGAGGATATTTTTCCATTTGTCTTCAGATAGAGTGGAGGGAGGGGGGCAGAGAGAGGGAGAGAGAGAACAACATCGATGTGAGAGAGACGCATCAACTGGTTGCCTCCCAGGATCGGGGACAAACTGCAACCAGGTACGTGCCCTTGACCGGAATTGAACCCACGACTCTGTGGGCCGACACTCTAACCACTGACCCAAACCAGCCAGGGCCTGGACCGCTCCTCTGAAAATGGCTAGTTTCATGTTCCGTGAATGTCACCTCAATGACAGAAGGAACGGATGAGGTGGGCGCTGCCCTCGGGGAGCGAGGCCTGGACGCGGCTGGACCGCAGGAGGGGCGGACCGGACCCACCTTCCGAGTTCTGCCGAGACGCGGTGCCCTTGACCCGGAAGGCCTGCCGTGCGCGGCTGCGGTCCCCAAAGCTCCAGCTCTTGGGCACCTTGCTGGGACTGTCCTCCAGGCTCTGGTCGGCGCTGGGTGACCGCCGGACCGGCTGGGCCTGCGGGGACCCTTTCCCCTTGGCGGCCACACCTCGGGGGCTGGAGAAGACACGGTCTTTCAAACTGACCTTCTGACTGCTCCCAGGACAGGTGGACAGACACACACAGAAAGACAGCGGAAGAAGTCACTCTGGACAGAACGCTCAGGCCCGTCACCTGCTCTTAGCCGACGCTGTCCCACAGGGACGGGAGAGCCGCAGACCCAGCCCCAGAGAAACGCCCGCCAAGGGCAGCTGCCGTGGCCGGAGCCCGCGGGAAGTCACGTGGTGAGGCCCTGGACAGTCAGCTCCACCAGGGACTCCCGGGCTGGCTCATGTCCACCACCTAAAGGGGTCCTGTCTGTCCTGTCCAGCCAAGCCTCCCTCTCCAAGGTGACACCCACAATGGGCAGGTCCCCAAATGCCCAGCAGTGGCAGCTACTCTCTGGGCACAGCTATGGGCCCCCAGCCACTCAGCAGGCTTCTCATCTGCCCTCCACACCCTGTCACTGCCCCAGGGCCAGAAGGGGTCAGGTCTGCAGCCCCAGGGAGCAGGGTGAGGGCAGGAGAAGGAGCAGCATCGTGGGGGTGGACCTGTCCACCTGCCCTCCGCCCGGAGGCTGCGAGGTTCCACGTGCCCCTAGGATCCAGTGGGAACGGTGGTCCGGCTCCCAGAGGATGGAGTGGGTGGGCCTGCTCTGCCGACCACCTGGGCTGTCCTGCGCCCTGGCCTGAGGCGCAGGGAGGGGCGACCCTAGCTGGCCAGGGGTCCTCGGGCCTCCCTGTCCACACGTCTCTTGGTAACCGTGGAGATGGGTCTACCACCAGGTTTCCCCTGTTCTCACACCCCACGGGCAGCAGCCAGGAGACGGTGGGTCACTGCGGTCAGGGTGCGGTGTCAGACCAGGGGGCCTGGTGGTCACTCACTTCCTCCCACTGGACAGGGCCCCTCACATGCCTGAGAGGGCAGCAAGGTTCTGAGGACCGTGAACCGGCTCAGGCTCTGAGCGGGGCCCCTCACTGCCCCAGGAGCTTGCGACAGGCCTGCCTGGGGCCCTCTGGAAGCCACCGCTGACCCTGCTGACCCTCCGCATCGCCAGCCCCACCGTGGCTGCCTGGGGTCAGCCACCTCCATTGGCCTGACCAGAGAGCACAGCCTGGACACCCATTTGGCGGCGCAGAGATGACCGACCACGGACAGGAGGTGGCCTTCCACCCGGTCCACCAAGCCTGGACACGCGGCCCGAGCTGGCATCCTTCCCTGCCCCCAGGCTCCTAGCCTGTCTGTGCTAGCTCAGGGGTCTCTGCAGGATGGGGAGAGAAGCCCCTTGGGCAGGTGGCTCCAAGGCGTGGAGCCCACGGGGAGCAGCCCCCTGTGTCCTGTGAGCACAGGGCTGGGCGTCAGCTTGCTCAGGACACTGGTCCCAAGCTTGTCACCACTGAACCCAGGGTGAGGCCTCAATGGGCATTGTGGGGGCCTCTGTACAAATGACCTCTTCTGTGTCCCTGTCCCAGTGAAGACCAGCTGATCCAGGGAGACCGTGAGAGGTGGTTCTGCCCAGCCAGGAGCCTGGCTCCCGGAGGACAGAGCCCCAGGGAGGATCCTTCCCTGGCCCGGCTCGGCCCCGCGTCCCCCCTGCTCAGACCAGGGAAGGTGCCCTGCTGAAGGGCACCGCAGGGCGGACACCTAGACCCCCACCATCCTCGAAGCTCAGTACCCCAGGCACGCACCCCCGCCCTAGCCTCCGGCACCTGCCTCCAGACACCCCAACGCTGGTGGTTCAGGACAAAAACCGACAAAATCTGACACCTGGGAGGGGCCCTGGCCAGATGGCCCTCATGTGATGGGCAGTTTGGTGTTTACATGGGGCTGCGGGCACATTCAGGAAGGTCTGGGGGAGAAAGCCGCGGTCCAGTGCCCCTGTCACCCCAAGGGAGAAATTCCAAATATGTGGGGTTGGCTTCAAACCGGGATGGGGAGTGGGAGGGCCCAGCTGAGCTCGGCCGCACCCAGGTCCCACAGTGGGCCAGCTCAGCGGGGTGCAGCCGGCATCCAGAGAGAGCTGCCCAGTCACGGCTGGACGCGGATGCCCAGGGAAGGCGGGCGGACGCAGGGACATCCCTGAGACATGCACAGCAAGACCGGCCTCGGCCTGGGATCCTGGCCCTTCTCCTTCCCAAGCAGCCTGCCCACAGCCCCTGACCCGAGGGCAGCCTGTGGCCACAGCACCACGGACACAGCTCCGGGCAAGCAGGACAGCCCCGGCCAGCCCAGGTCTCCCCTCCTGGGGCTACAAGTCACCCCACAAGCCCTAGTCGGTGAACACACAGGTAGCACGGACAGGCAGGGGTGCCCTGAGCCCCGGTGGAGGGTTCGAAACATGCACGGATGCAGAGGTGCTGCATGCACCCGGCCTGGCCCTGCGCACGGCCCTCCTGACGCCGGCGCCGGACACCGGCCACATGCACGAGACAAGTGGGCGCTGCCCACACCTCGCAGGGCTGCTCCGTCAGGGTGGGAGGCGGGCAGGAGGGAGGGGGGAAGGGCACACTCCCAGAAAGCAGAAAGACAGACTCCCCCGCCCCCCACCAGCTGCCGTGGACAGAGGGGCGGAACGGTGCCGTCAGGTGCCCAGTGCCGAGGTGGGCCCTTCGCCACCGGCCGGTTTCCAGTCTCCCTAAACCAGGCCTGTCTGGGGGGGGGCGTGGACTTAGAGCTTTCGGGTGAGTCTGGTGCGTCGGGACCACAGGGAGCCGGCACGCCCGGGACGGAGCTGCCCAAGCCGGCAGCCGGCGGAGGTACGGGGGCGTCCTCAGTGCCCAGTAGAGGTGCTAGATTGAAGCTTGGAGAAAGGCTTCCAGGGCATCAGGACCCTGGGGGGCCGGCGCCTCTCTGGGTTCAAGCCACCGGCCGGCCCCCTTCTGCCTGAAGCAGGGCTGCTTGGGCTGGTGGAGAGTGTTGGGATGAGGGCGGCTAGCAGGGCCGGAGGGCCATGGGCCCAGCTGCCCATCGGAATTGGGGGCTGGGGGCCGGGCGGCCTCCCCGGCTCATCTAGAACCTCTAATAAGCAGAGTCTGGAGCGAGAGAGCCGTGCAGCAGGGTCGCCCGAGCCACGCGTCCGCGGTACCTAGAGTGTCCCGGGCAGCATCCACACAGGCCCCCTCGGCACGGCCGGCCTTTACTGGAAATGAGGAGAGCACAGTTAGTCCCCGGGCCCGGCCGGCCAGCGGGCACAGGGTGCCGGCAAGCTGAGGCCCACGACCGCCCGGGGTCCCTCGGGCTCAGGGTCCGCCAGCCACAGAGCCTGCGTCTGAGCAGAGACCACACATAAAGTCTTCTGCCTGGAAGAGAAACAGTCCCCTATTTTTGGAGGAAAAAAAGTCCCCGTTTTTCCCTCCAAAAATACCTTTTCCTTCCTGGGTCAGAGCTCGGGGCCACGTCTTTCGAAAGCTGTATTATTTTTTGCTGTATTCATGCGAACAAAAAAATAATACACGGGCTAAGACTTCGCGCGGGGCTTGTTCCGGACGGACAGGGTTCGGGGAGCACACGTTTCGAGGTGAAAACGTGCCGTTTGGTTCGCAACCAGTCGGTGAGGTTCGGCCGAGCCCAGCCGCTGCCTGGTCAGAGGGGCCTCGGTTTACCCAGGAGGCAGTGGCCCCTCTGCCTGGAGGGAAGCTCAGGAGAAGGGGGTCAGGGGCCAAAGCCAGTTCATCTCAGTCCCTGTAACATCTGCCTCTGTGAGCAGAGGGGACCTGGGGGGCGGGGGGTCCACAGGAACCACTGACGGTCGGCTCCCCCAGGACCTCCTGACTCTGGGCTTCTCTCTGCACCGGAACACGAACATGTTTACGCAGAAATGAAAGCAACACACGAGAACTGCGAGGAACCCTTGGTTTTCCTGGGGCCTCCCCTCCCTTCCACTTGGAAAGGGTTGCTCCCGAGACTGCAGTCCTCAAACTGTGCCCCTGAGGAACCCAGACGCGCACGGTGGTCTCGGCTCTGGGGAGGAGGGCTCAGTGTCCACACTCATGGAGACATTGGTGGCACCTGCTGGTGTCCAGATGGCTCTCTCCACTCCCGTACAAAGGACACACCCAGCTACCTCTGGTGAGCCAGCAAGTCCAGGTCCTCAGGGCCCCCCAAGGGGGACCCTGTGTGCCCCACGAGCTTCCTCCTATGGGAACGGCCCTACCATGTGGATCAAGAACAGGACTTGCTGGATGGCTTGATCCCGGCGGGAGAAAGCTGGGGTCCAGCTGTCCCGGCCAGTGCTCCCCCATGAAGCTCTCCCTGTGACTCAGTATCCCCAGGACCCAGACCCTTCAAATTTGAGGCAAATGTTCTGTCCTGGGGCACCCCCCTGTCAGCTACAGGTCCATCAGAGCCTGCAGATAGCTAAAGATGGGGGCCCCTCAGGCAGCTCCCCCGGGGTCCCCCCACCTTCAGATTTCCCCTGGGACCGAGGATGGAGGGGTGAGCCCAGCTGTGACCAGTCCCCCGACCAGCTTTGCTCAGTTGCCTGACCCGGAAGCATGTCCCGGGCCCCTGCCGCGGTGCGCACGGTTCTGGGCTGTCTGTGGGTCACGTGGCTGCTGAGCCCGTGAGACAGGAGCCGCTTGCTAACTGCAGTTCATGTCGTGAAAACGTCGTCGGCCACGCGTGACCAGTGAGTGGCTCCGGTGTGGAGCAGCGGGCTCACACCTGACGGAGCCGAGGAAGGTGGGCTGCTGGAGCCCCTGAGCACGGGGTTTGAGGGTTCCCCACTCTCGCCCGTTCCCTCTGGGCTCCAGGCCAACCCTGGCGTGTTCCTGCCCCGTAAGCCAACCCGAGCCCAGGAGCCCAGGCCCCCAGGCCCCCGACGGGGAGGAGCCATCACAGACACTCAGACTGGACAGACACTCCTGTGACGAGGGGGACCCACGTGGACAAGGGGCAAAGCGGCTGGGGCAGGGGTCTCCTCCAGGGACAGGGTTGGGTGGGGGGCAGTCAGAAATGGGAAGGGGCAGAGAGTGGGTCAGGGATACGCCCAGAGCGGCACAGCCCCAAACCCTGGCTGCCCTGGCCCCCGGCTCCGACCCCAGTGCAGACAGCCGTGGTCTGATGCCCACCGTGAGCCAGGCCCCAGGGGGTCTCAGCGGCTTCTGAAGGTCCCTGTGTCCACCCTGCCCTCCGGCACTTGAAGGCCCAGGATCGCCTGGTGGGCAGCCCACGGAAACCACCGCCTCGGGCACAAGCGGCAGGACGGTTTCTCACACACTCACGGCGGCTGCCCGGGCGGGGCGGGCGCACCCTCTGCCCCTGGCGCACAGGTGTGCCTCCCAGGAGAGGCAGGCCCGGTTCCCAGGAGGAGGCGGGGCTGCAGGCAGGCGGGGACACAGGACACACGGGGGAGACAAAGGGCGGAGTGCGGGAAGCAGGGGGCAGAGCACAGAGCGGGGGCCCCGTGTGTCCTCACCTGGAGTCCTGCTTTCGGGGTCAGCACCTCATCCCCAAAGACAGGGCGCGTGAAAGGGTTCAAGGAGGGCAGTGACATGTTATAGGCACTTGGGGTGGGGTTTCCAGATTGGGGGCGGGAGGGCGGGAGGGGAGAGAGAGAGAGAGAGAGCCTGAGACCAGCATTGCCGGGGGTGGGTGAAGCCGGGGCCAGGAGCACGGGAGCTGCCTCGGGCCGCAGGGGCCGACGACAGGGGACGAGGGTGGGCGCCCAGCAGGCGCAGTCCGACCCCCACCCTCCCCAGGCTAAGCCGACTCCCGTCTGGTGTCCGTTTCCTCAGCCTCCGTGAGGGGTCCCCTCACCACCAGCACTGGGCTCTGGCGGGGCGAAGACACAGCCCCATCTTTTCAATTCTGGGCGCCAGCCATCGCTCCCTCCTGGGGGCCTGGGGGACAGGGTGCCTTCCTCCGACGGCTCAGCTGGATTGGGCCCCCACCCAACCAGCCAGCTGAGTGCCTTGGGGGGCTGGCCTCCCTCCGCACTGTGTGGGCGGGGTGCTGTGGGACCCCGGAGCTCAGAGCTCCGCATGGGACACCCAGGCAGCCTGCAGTTCATCAGATGTGAAGTGGGACACGACCTGGACTTTTTACCAGGAGGGCGGTGGGCACCCCCCATTCTGCCTGCAGCTGAGGTCACCCACAGAGTCCCTTTTCGGGGTCTCCAACCTGCCGGCTGCAAATAGGATGGTGGGACCTGCTGGGACCCTCCCCCCGAAAGACAGGAGACCCTGTGCTTACAAGGAACTTCCTACACCCCCCAGAAACCTCTGACAAACCAGGATCCGCCCCGCAGCAATGAAGACCCCTTCTCAGAGCGGCCCCCCTCCACCGCCTGACCCTGACCCTGACCCTGAGCCCCAGCCACCGACCTGCTGGCCTCCCTCACAGACTCCCCGCCTCAGGGCCAGGCAGGGAATACAGAACGGATCCAGGGGTCCAGCCACAGCCCCCCAGGGCTCCCACGGGGCCCAAGGCAGCCTTCACCTCCCTGACCACACAGACACGGGAGGTCGCGGGCACTGACCTGGGGGACGGCTCCGGCTGCGGCTCCTTCCTTCAAACAGAAGCAACAAGATTGTCAGCCGACAGGGGGGCACACCCCACCCAGGGCCCCGTGGGCCTCCCTTGGCACCCACCACATCTCCGCCTTGCCCCGCCCACACCCACAGCCCACCACCCCTGCACCCCTGAGGACGCAGGTCCTGGAGGAAAGAGGGAACCTGGCGGGTGGAGGGGCTCAGTTCCCTCCTGGAGACCCCAGCTCCACGCCTGCTTCTGCCAGGAGCCTGGTGGGCCCACTCCCGCCCCGCACGGACCCTCTCCCCGAAGCGCTTAACCCCAGTGGGTCCCAGCACACTGTCCTTTGCAAAACGGACAGCCGCCAGCGCCATCCTCCGAGGCTGGCTTCTCTGCCCAGCAGCCCCCCCCCCCCGGGTCCGCCTCTCCCTCCGGCAGGGTCCCAGCTGCAGCAGGAGGAACAGCAGCCTCCACACCCTGCTGGAACCCGAGGCTGAACGTCCCAGCTGTCCGAGCAGGTCCGGGCGGGCCCCCGGCCCTGCAGCCAGCTCAGCCCGTGTGTCCTGCACGGACAGCAGGGCTGAGTCCCGACCTCCCTGGGCTCCTTCACATCGCGTCCCAGCAACACGCTGGGAACAGTTGCCTTTCATGTCCCCGGGCCCACAGCCTGGGCCTCTCGGTTCTGCTCTGAGCTCTCCCAAATCGGCCCTCCACCCGTCACCCTCCGAAGGGTCCGGCTCCCGTCTCAGCAGCTCTGCTTCCTGCCCGGGACCTGTATGGGCTCCCCGTCCCTGTGATGAAGGACCATGCACTGGGGGCTTAAGCCACAGGAATCTCCCCTCTCCGGTTCTGGAGGCCGGGGGTCCAGGCCTGGAGGCCAAGCCCCGCCCTGAAGCTGCAGGGAGTGGTCTGTCCTGCCTCCTCGGCTCCTGGTGGACCCAACTGTCCCTGGGCCACCGCGGCCCGTCTGTACCTCCATACACGCCCTCTGCACTGTCCTCTGCACTGTCTCTCACAAGGACGCTCGTGCGTGGATTAGGCCATGCTGACCCGGAGTGACCGCACGCTGACAGCCTTCACTAACCATGTCTACAGGGCTTTGTCCAAATAAAGTCATGCTCACGGGCTCCAGGGCACAGACGCATCTCTGAGGGGCAGGGCCCTGACCCCTGGAGCCACACTGCCCCACCCAGAGCTCTTGGCACGGGCCCCCGGGCCACCCTCCTCTCCGCTCCGCACCCCACTCCTGTGCTGAGCACTGGAAGACGTCCCCAGGGCCCATGACCAGCCTACACCAGCACGTGCTGTCCCCATGGGCAGCAGAACCCCTCAGGAGGACGTGCCCCGCCCCGCCCCGCCCCTGCCGGCGCTGCCGCCGGGACCCTCTGCCCACCTGAACGTGAGTCCGGATTTGCTCTTGAGGTTCCGCAGCAGCTCCAGCTGGTTGAGGGGGGGGATCAGTCTGCGGGGAGGAGAGGCCAGTGAGGTCCCGCCCACGTGAGCCTGGGGACGCCTCACCCCGGCTCTCACCAGCGTCCACTTCACACACAGGAGCCCAGGGGACACGGGGTGTGGCTGTCACCGGCAGAAATCAGAGAGGTCCGTGGGAGGGGCCCCTGGGCACCGTCTGCGTTTTCTGGCCACACCTGTCCGGGGTCCCGGCCTGGGAATGGCCAGTGGGCACCGTGGAGGGACGGGTGGCCTAGGGCATGGTCCCTGGAGGTCCAGCCCGGACCGCGTGGAGCAGGTCAAGCAGGGCACCAGGGCACAGGCAGGGGGCAGCAACGGAGCTGGGCTCCCAGACCCGTCTGCAGGGCCCGGCAAGTTCCGGCTCATGGAGAAGCCGCTCGGACGGACGGAGAGTCCCTGGGGCCCCGGCCAGTGGCCTGGCTCTGCTCTAAGCCCCCTCCCCAGACCCAGGCACACCCATGGGACAGCCTCACGCCCGGCCCCCGCCTGCTGGCCACCGGGCAGGTCCGGGCAAAACCTCCAGAAAGGCCAAGAGTAGAACCTTCACACCAGGGCCTAAGATCTGAGGACCGAGATGGTTCTGGGGAGGCCCCAGGCCCCCCCCTCCACCCACAGGGCCGGGCAGGGCCTTGTGTGGGACTCTCGTCCCCTCCCAGCCGCGGGGGATACCCGCACCCCTCTCGGCCCTTCACCACCCCCTGCCCTCATGCTTCCACCGTGATTTAAGGAGGAGACACCCCTAAATGTGGCCACAGGCCTTGGCCTCCCCCTCCTGACCCAGTCCCCACTTAGTGTGACATCCACTCAGCTCTCAGCCTCTGAACCCCAATCCCCGAAAACCAGGCTCCCAGGCCCCAGCCCTCTCCTCAGCCTCTGACCTTCTTCGCTCTGGGCCCCGACCGCCCGGGGCCTGCGGACCCTCCAGCCACGGCCCTCCCGGCCTGCTCCCCCCCCCCACGGGTCGCCCTGCGCCTCCGAGTCAGCAGGCCCTCGGCCCCCAGGCCAAGCTGGAGCCACCCCAGTGGGATGGGTTCCTGCCATTCTCGTGCCCAAGCCCTCAGGAGCTCCCCAGGGCCCCCGAAATAGAAGGGTTTCGGACTGCGGTGCGCACGACCTGATGGCAGGCCTTGCTGTCGCTGGTTTTGCTCCGGCCTCCACACGCCTGTCCGGTCGCACCGCTCCCGCCCCCAGGGCCGGCCAGTCCCTGCCCCTCTGCAGCCCACACGGCCAGGCCAGGGCGGTGAGCCCCGGACACGCTGTGAGCCCTCCCCCAGGCTGCCCCCTGTCCTCAGGTCAAGACGAAGCAGGAGGCCTGGGCCGCCAGGTCCCTCAGGCTGTGGGCGCAGCAGAGCCCCCAGGACTGGACACAGGAGCAGAGCTGGCCCCCCCAACCACCCCCCAGGGGCCTGAGCAGAGACCCCGGACAGCGCCACACACGCAGGTCCAAGGTTAGGGGACGCAGACGAGACGTCATGCCCGGGACACACAGCAGCAGGGTGGAGACGGGAGCGGGCAGGGCTGAGGGGGGGCTGTGCAGGAACATGAGGGGCAAGGCCACACACAGCGGTCGCCCCGGGGGGTTGGCCGTGGAGGGCGAGGGTGAGTGTTGACAGGAGTGGGGGACACGTCAGGGGGCACCCCCAGGAGAGAGCAGTGCCTGGTCTGGGGTCGGCAGCTTGAGGACAATTCCAGTCACCCAGGTCCACTGGCGGGGGTGGGGGCTCCTCTACGGAGCCTGAGGGATCTGGGCTGGAGAGGGTGAACCCGGAAACCTCCTGGGTCTAGGAGCCTGTTGGGGCCTGAAGCAGGGTCTCCCCAACTGCTGGGCGGCCTGGACCCCAGGAGCCCCAGGCCTCCCCCTGTTCCCACCACCACCTTCTCCTCCACATGAGGCCCCCTGGTCAGGGGTGGGGATGCCCGGGGGGCTCGGGGCCCACCCACCGTGGAGCCTGGCCCCACGCTGCCCAACACTGCACCCTCCCCCTGCTGGGGCTGGCCAGGGGGGGGGGTGACGAGGCTCCGCAGAAGGGCTGACCTCTGGGGGTCCGAAGAGAGCCTCTGCCCCGGGCCCCAGCTCTGCCCACACGGGGAGAGCGGGCCCCCCTCTTGCCGGGCGTGCAGACGCCCCGCACGGTCCCCACTCGCTTCGCGGGAAAGGAGGAGTACTGGGCGGGGTAAAACTTCCTGCAGCAGCTCAGCACCCCCATCTGGACGGGGACCCCGTCTCTCCCCTCAGCAGGAGACAGCCCCCACGCAGGCACAGTGGTCCAGTCGACAGGGACAGACCGCCGGCCGCCTTCCCCAGGGCCGTCTCCCTGCCGCTGCAGCGGGAAGCCCAGGCGTCAAGTCCACGGGGAGCCCGTGCGGGCCCACGGAGAGCTGCCGGTCCCCGTGCCAGCTGCAGGCAGAGTGGCGCTGCCTGCCGGGAGCGGGGCCCGCGGGGCGTCCTGAGCGGGGACGTGGACGCCCCCAGCTCCAGCGCCTCGTGCTGGGCACACATGGGTTCGTGGGGTGGGGGTGGAGGCACCAGGGAGGGACCCAGCCACTGAGACAAGGCAGGAAGCAGGACAAGGGACAGACAACTGGACAGAGGACCCAGCACAACAAAGCTGCGGGGGGGGGGGGCGGGGGGAGAGCTGAGAGAGGGACCCGGGGAGGCAGGGAAATGCACTCCAGGCAGGGCACAGGGCACAGGGCACAGGGCAGCGCCGGCTACCCGGCGACTCCACAGGCTGGGGCAGGGGTGCGGCCACTGGCTCTGCACACGGGTGGCCCCGTGACAGTCCCACACAGAGGACAGACCACACCACACGCTTTCTGTCCCATGCATCTCCTACCTGGAGGCCCCGTAGGTTTGAGCTTGAGAACTTTCAAGTGTTTCCCACAGGCAGGGAAAGAGCGGGGGTTTAAAAGATGGGGTGAGGAGAAGAAGATGGGGAACAGAGTGGAGGAGAGTGGGAGAAAGAACAGAACAGAGAGAATTAGCACGCGGGCCGGCCCGCCTCGGCCGGGGGCTGGGGCGCAGTTCGCAGAGCTGCATCATGGCAGAGGGTCCGAGGGACTCGGGGGCTCTTCCCAGGTGGCAGGTCCCCTCTGAGGCTGACGGCCGGAGGGACAGCCTCTGGCCTGCAGGCCATCCCTGAATCCAGGACCCTCAGGAGACCCTGCCCAGCCCCTTGGTGAGGGTTCCAGGGGTGGAAACCCCTGGGGTGGGCAAGGGCCATCCTCGGGCTGGGAGGCCCGAGGGCTCAGCTTCACCTCGAAGGGCAGAGGCAGGGCGGTGCCCACCCAACCAAGGGCATGAGGCCCGAACAGACACTGGGCAGCCCCAGCCCGTCACCTTAGACCTTCTAAGCCAGAGCCTGGCACAGACAAATCCTGGGGTCGGCCTCTCTCATCCGGGCTGCCAGCTGCTCTTGCCCGGAAAGCCCTCTGCCTGCTGACCACGCACCCTCACCGCACCAGCACCTCGGCCAACCACCTCCAGACAGGCTTCTGGCCCCTTCTCGTCAGAGGGCACCCGCAACCCCAGAGTGGTCTGGGGTCACCCTCCTTTCCCTGAGCAGAGACCCTGGTCCTCTAAAGCATGGAGCCACCCAAGTCACTGTGCCCGGGGCGTGTGCCAAGCTGGGGCGGGGGAGGGGCCTCTCCGAGGCACCCGCGCACCTCGCACCCAGTGAGGAGGTTCGGGGGGGGGGGCATGAGGTGAAAATAACAGTCGCGAGCTATGAAACAAAGCAAAATCAACTGCGAAAGAAACCACACACAGAACTCCGTTTTGAAAAGTACATACATTTTAAAGGAAAGAAAGGAAAGAAAAAGAAACAAAAATCAATGGAAATAATGAACAACAAAAAAAGGCGTTTCGGGACGGACAGGAAGTGAGGGCCGCCGAGGCGCGGTGGCGGTGGCGGTACCTGTACATGGGCACGGTGACGGTGCGCTCGTAGTACTGCCACGTGGAGTGCAGGTCCGTGCGGGACAGGTTGGTGGCGTAGAACCTCCAGGCGGACTGCAGGGAGACGGGGCGGGTCAGCAGCGAGCGCAGGGCCGGCACAGGGACCCTACGGGCCCTCCCACCTCTCGAGAGCAGCCGGGCGCCTGTCCCCACCCCACAGGCCACCCTGGGTGGACTGGCCCGCATGACCCCAACCAGTGGTCTCTCCTTGGTCTGACCTGACAACTTGGCCTCACGGTCACCTCTGGCTTCCCCAGTCCTGAGGGGACATACGTGGCCTGTGGGACCTCAGGAGCTGGGAGACGGGGGACACAGGCCTCCTTCCTCCCAGTGTGGTGGCCCACAGACCATGGGGGAGTCACACTGAGCTCAACGCAGGGCCCGGGCCTGCCAGGTAGACCGTCTTCGACCTGGCCTGGGCCTCCATCCCCGACCTTCGTGTGTGTGGTGGAATACACACAATTCCCGTGTTAACCATTCGGAAGGGGCCCCCCCCGGCGGCATTTAGCACATCACTGTGGAACCCTCACCACCGTCGGTTCCACATCCCCATCACCTCGGAATGAAATGCCCCCACCCCTTCAGCCGTCACCCCCACCTTCCCCCAAGCCCTGGCAACCCCCGGTCCACACGGTCCCCCGGGTTTCCTGCCAGTGGAATCTGGCTTCCTTCCCGTAGCGTTTGCATGGCCCAGCCATGTGCCTCCTGCTGTGCCGGCTGAACAATACTGACGGGTGAGCCCACGTCCTGTCTGCCCGTCATCCACCGAGGGACACCTGGTCGCTTACACCTCCTGGCGGCAAACACTGGGTGAACGTTTCGGCTACACGCCTGTTTTCAATTCTTTGGGAGTCTACTTAAAAGTGGGCCTGCTGGGTCGTCGACAGGATGGTGTTTAATTTCTTCAGGAGCCCCGAGCTTGCCTAGGGCGGCTACACCACCCCGCAGCCGGAGGGCTCCATTTCTCCGCGTCCGCCAGCACGTCCGTTGTCCTGACCCGGTGGCCGTGATGTGACGTCTCACTGTGGCTGTGGCTTCATGTCCCTGGTGACCGACACTGCCGAGCATCTCTTCCCACGCTTGCAGGCCACCCGCCCGTCTTTGGAGAGATGCCTGTGGAAGTCCTTGACTCGTCTCCTGCTTGGCTTGAGCTGTGAGTCCTTGACGTATTCCGATGCTTATCAGACGTCTGGTGTGCAGACACCTTCTCCCATGGTGTGGGTGTCCCCTCAGCCTGTAGTGTCCTTTGATGCACCCACGTTGGTAATTTTGATAAAATTCTATTTATCTGGGTGTGTTGTTGTTGTTGTTGCTTGTGCTTTCGGTGTCATTTCTAAGAAACCAAGGTCATGGAGCCTTACACCCCTGTTCCCTCCTGAGATTGTATAGTTTCAGCTCTGATATTTATTTTCTTCATGGTCCCCCTGGGGACTGTGACTGGCATCGTAAACTTGTAACAATCTAGTTCGAATCGATACCAAGTTAGCTCAAGAGGATTCGAAACTCTGCTCCAATGTAGCCCTTCTTTTGTTGTTACTGTTACAGATGATATCTTTATGCACGGTGTGCCCAGGGAGGTAGATTTGTGGTTACTGCTTTATGCATTTGTCTTTTAAATCCTATAAAGAAAAGAATGAGTTACAAACCAAAAATGTAACCACTGCTCACGTGGCCTGAGTTACCGCCCCGTGACTTTTCATTCCAGTCTGAAGGACGCCCTCTACGCTTCTCCGGACCGCAGGCCGACGCGCTAACCGCTGAGCCAAACTGGCCAGGGCACCTCTACGCTTCTTGTAGCCAGTCTACCGGTGATAACTCCCTCGACTTTCATTTACAGGGAGTTGGCTTCGTTCCTCCTTCGTTTCTGAAGGATAGTGTTGCCAGAATTGTTAATTCTTGCTTTACAGTACTTTTCATTTTTAAAAAATATGTTTCTATTTATTTTTAGAGAGAGGGAGAGAGAGAGAGAAACATGGATGTGAGAGAGAACATCAACTGGCTGCCTCCTACTGGGGATCGAGCTCACAACCCGGGCGTGTGCACTGACCGGGAGTCGAACCAGGACCTCTCAGTCCACTGAGCCACACCGGCCAGGCAACAGTATTTTGCTTTCAGGACTTTAAATGTCATCCCATGGCCTGTGGCTTCCATCGTTTCAGAAGAGAAATCAGCCGTTGGTCTTACTGAGGCTCCCTGTCCCCAAAGCACCCTTTTCTTGCTGCCGCCAAGATGCTGTGTCTCAGGGTTCCAGCAGTTTGATCACAATGTGTCTTGCGAGTCTCTGTTTTCCCTGCTTGGAGTTCACTGAACTTCTCAGGTGTGTAGATTCATGTCTTTCATCCAGTTTGGAAAGTGTTCGACCTTATTTCTTCTAATAGCCCTTTTGCCCCTTTCTTCCTCTCTCTTCTCCTTCTGCCTCATCGTAATTTTTTTTTTGTCGTTGTTGTTGGCAACTGGATGTTTTGAATGTTGTGATGGGGAACCTCCGGGAGTCAAATTCTGCCCCCTCCCCGGGGTTTGTTGCTGCTGCTTGCTGTTGATTGTGGTTGTGTGTTCACTGACTTTTGTATACTATTTCCTACACGCTGTATTCTTTGTTGTGTGTGGTCACTCAAGTCTCTGCTTCATTAGCATAGTGGTCAGCTAGTGATTTGATAGGGTTTTCTTACACCCACAGAACCGAAGAGCAAAGACAGTGTTTGCAATGGGCTCTGTGCTGGGCACACCTTCAACATCAGTGAGGCCACTCACGACTCTTCGTTAGCCCACACTTCCTGCCTGCACGAAGCCCAGAGGTCAGCCTGAGGGGAAGAGTCTTCTCCAGGAACCTCTGACCCTGCATCCAGCCCTGGACAGGTGTGTGGCCTTCTATTCCCCTCAGTATCTGAGGGTCTCTCCAGAGTTCTGACTTCCCCATGTGTCTCCCTCCCAAACCTGTTCCTTCCAGGTGTTCCCAGGTGTTCCGTCCACCGCTGCTCCCGTCTGCCCTCCCTGGCCCCAGGGGCTGCAGCTGGCACATCTGCCTCTGCACTGGACCACCTGGAATGCTGCTCCGGCCCTGCGAGTTTCCGGGTAAGTAAAACAAAGGCAAACTCTCAGGATAGCTCAGGAGACACTGCTGGACAAGGAGTGGTGGCTGTGTCCCTGACGGTGGGGCCGGCTGCGTGAACCGGGGCATCACACACACGGGGCTCAAGCACCTACTGGCTACCTGAGGGGAGGTCTCTGAGTCCCAACCCCCCATGTGCAGGATAGGTGAGACTGTGCCCCTGCCTGCCAGGGCACCGTGAAGAGCAACTCGCTGGCCCGGGGCCCGGGGCCCACACAGGACGACCGCCCACCAGCATCATCACCGCCGGTGCTGCCGTACGGCCTTGGGCGTCTAAACTGGTTCTCAGCACACACATTACACTCCCCACGCCCAACACGTTCTGGCAGACGGACACCGGCCTGTCCACACACAGGGACAACTCCAAGCAAGGCTTTGCTCCTGGACGTGACGGGACCAGGTCAGGGGGTCCACGGTCCGGGGTGCGGCCACCGGACTCACCTGGATCAGGCCTGCAGCAGGGTTCCGCCTCTTTTCAAAGTGCTTCTGCCGATGCTGCTCCTGAACTTTCAGGGCGAAGCCAGACCCCAAAATGCCCTGCAAGACGTCAGAGTTCGTCAGATCCCCACCCCCGCCCCACATAGCCTCGTGAGCTCTACCTCCCACCTCCGCGGTCCCTAATCAGTTCGACACCGGGTGGGGGAGAACATCTGGATTTGGGGTAAGGGACACGTCGGTACGGCAGTGCCCACATTGGACATGTCTGGGCCCAAAGGGCGATCGTCCTTCCCTGATCTGTCCACACGTAGCGAGTGCAGGCCAAGCTCTGGCTGAGGGGCCACCTGTCTCCACGGCTGCCTGCCACTCTCCAGCTGGCCCCCTGTCCAGCCTGGCGGTGGATGGACAGCTAGCAGAGCCCCCTCCTCTTGTGCAGAGCGGGGTCTTTGGTCCCCTGGAGACCCGACGTGGGAGCCATGTCACTGCTCAGCCCTGATCCTCCTGGTCACAAGGACCTACTGGCCAGTCCCACAGACTCGGAGGAGCTGGGAGTGACCAACAGAGGTGGAGTCAGAAGCCACAGCTGGGGGCACTCAGAGCGCCCTAATGTCATACTGTGGGAGCTACGAGGCCAGGGCAGCCCCACCTGAGTCCTCCTCCAGCTCCCTGAGGGTGTGGGCCCTGCAGGGAGCCCCGCTCCCGTCCATTCCCCTAGGGGTGATGGCCAGGCAGCCTGTGGTCTCTTGGGAGCCCACGACCCCGCCCCCTCAGAGGTAGGAGGGGCAGGACTCACGGCAGGAAGGGCGAAGAAGGAGACGCCGATGAGCGTGAAGGTGGCCGCCAGGAGCCTCCCATTCCATGTCTGGGGGTACTTGTCCCCGTAGCCGATGGTGGTCAGGGTGATCTGCGGGACAGCGGGTCAGGTCCTACGCCAGGCCCGGCCGTGGTCACTTAGGGGCCAGGGACCCTGAGCCGGGTACTCCGCCTCAGCCCTTGGGGGCTGGGACACAGGGTCACCCCCACCCATCAGGGCAACTGGACGCTGGGCAGCGGGGCAAACACAGAGGCCACCCCCTCCCACGCTACACCCACGGCCCCAAGGAGGTCAGGGTCAGCGACCTTCAACCCTGCAACAACCACATCAAAACTCTCCGTCTCCCCTTTGCCATACACAGCTGGGGTGTCATCTGTTCCCCGTCACACCGGGAGAGCCCCAGAGGCACCGGAGGGGCCAGGGGCCTGAGGGGACAGTGTGGGGAGGAAAAACAACCGGGGAGGGGACGGGCCCAGAGAACTGTGGGTGCAGGGCCAGGGTGCCCTAGGAGGGAGGCTTGTGAGCTCAAGGCAGAAGAGAGGGAGGGGCGGGGAAGGGGAGGAAGCGGACCCCAGGGGAGGGAGGCGGGCTGCTGCTGGTTCCTTAAGGCCCTGGGGGAGCCTAAGGACTGCGCCCAGAATTCCTTGGGGTGGAGCCAGGAGGAAGTGGGGCCAGCAGCGGGGGTGCTCCAGAGGGCTGGAGGGGCTGCGGCTGCCCGTAGTCACTGTAACACGTAGGTGCTTTGGGACATGTTTAAATTTATGCAAGTATTACTTTGATAAAATAAAATTTTTGATTCAGTTTTTAAAGACAGGAAGGTCATTGGCCTGGGGTCAGGGTGGGCCGTGTCTCCAGCGGGTAGCTGGTGCCCCGCCTGCACCGGTCAGCACCTGGACGCACAGGGGGCTCCATGGGTGCCCCGCCAGTACCCCCACTCGCCCTGCGCACACCCAGGCTCCTGACCATCTGCTTCCCGCCAGGTCAGATCTAAGAACACGCATGCCAGGGCGTGTGGCTGTTAGTGAGAAGCACATGGAGCGTGACTGGTGGCGGCTGAGCCGTGTGGCTCCCCAGCACCCGCTGCAGTGCCCGCCCAGCATCTGTGGAGCCAGGTCTGGGGCCCAGGAGACAGTGCACCCACATTTCCCCAGGCCGAGTGTCTGGAGCCCGTAGGCAGCACCATGAAGGAGGGGCCCCCGGGCCCCGGGGGCATCGGTGGGAATGTGTGAGGAGGAGCCAGGCTGAGGTCGCTCAGCTGATGGGGTGAGGCCTGCAGGCCCCGTCTCCAGAAGACACGCTCTGCTGTCGGCTGTCCCCACCACGGGCAGGAGGGGCGGCAGGTGGCCATGAGCAGGGGCCGGATCCGTGGGTTCCGGACCTACTCTGGGTGGGGTCAGGCAGCCCAGAGGGTTGAGCCCAGGGAACAGGGGACCCGTTTCCCCTTTTCAACCCTTCCTGCCCCTCTGCCCCCGGCAGTGGTGGGGGACAGGGGGTCAACAAGGAAGGAAGATGACCCCTGAGCCGGCCTCTCTCCACCCACGTGCCGGCCAGAGCATCTGCCCCTACACAGCCGGGCACCATGGACACAAGTAGCCAGCAAGTGGTCCCAGAGAGACGGCTCCAGCCAGAGAGCCCAGACATCTCCAGTCCAGACCCCGGGGGTCAAGGGACACACAATGGGGGGGGGGCCCAGGGAAGGCCAGCCGGCCAGCACGTCCTCAGCGAAGGGCGAGGAGCAGCGGCGGGGACTCACCAGGCCCCACCAGAGAGCGTCCGCGTAGGTGTCGAAGTGGTCGTTCTCACCCTTCTCCGCCAGGTACACCAGGAACGAGGCCAGGATGAGGCACAGGAAGCCGATGTACCAGGCGGTGACCAGCTCCTGGAAGAGATGGCCACTTCAGAGCGCCTGGCCAGCGCCCGGCAGGCTCCGTGTCTCCAGGGCCTGAGGAGTGGACACAGCCCCCAGCAGCCGGGCCACGTGGCCCCAGCTCGAGGCAGGTGACGGGGAGGCTGGTTTTCCCGGGTGCCCCACACCTGTGCACATCACACCTGGGAGGGCATGGCTAAGGACAGCCCAGCACGCACACCCATCCAGGTCTGGGGGTGTCCCCGAGCAGCTGACAGGCCAGCAGGCCACAGAACGTTGGAACCTGACACCCTACTTCAACTTCCCTGAGCTGGGGGGACACCCTGATGGACTGCTGGCCTTGGGGGGTCCAGCGCCTCAGCCACTTTGGAGAGCAGCACCCTTGGGGAGCAAGCCCCCCTCAGGGCTCAGACAGGAGGGCCGGTGGGTCAGTCACCCCACCCACGACCAGGTGGCACAGGTTGGCAGGGCAGGGTGGGGGCCTCCTGCGAGCTCCCTGGAACATGGGGAGGGGCTCGGGCTGGGGTGCGGCTGCCGCTACCTTGTGGGTCTCACTGCTGCTGCAGCCTGAATGGGCCGCTACTGGGGTACGGGTCCCAGCACGCCACCTGGACGGGGGCTCGGGCAGGGCCGAGCGGAGGGCTGTGCAGGAAGCTGGCCAGGCCTCCCGGGCTCCGTCCAGCCGGGCTCGGCCGCTCACCTTGCTGTGGGCGTAGACCACGGAGCCCAGGAGCTTCCAGGTGCCGCCCCGCCGGTCCATGCGGATCATCCGCAGGATCTGCAGGAAGCGCAGACTCCGCAGCGCCGAGGTGGCGAAGACGTTGCCTTGGGAGCCCGCGGCCAGCACAGCGATGGAGGCGATGAGCACCATGATGTCTGCGGAGAGGGCAGCTCCAGACAGCTGTGCGCGGGGACAGGCCCCGCCTGGGTCCCAGGAGGACGGACAGACGGACGGAGGTGCACGCAGAGGGCCCGGCGTGGGGACCCTGGCCGCCGCCCGCCCAGCCCCGCCCTGGGCACAGCTGCCCTGCAGCCCTGCCTCTCCGGCCACGTTAGCCACAAGCTGGGACGCCAGGAGGGCAGACCGTCCTGCCGCCTCACTGGCCCCCCCTCCCGGGGCCCTGGCCCATCCTGCGCCCACTGGGCCTCACCGATCACACAGAAGGGCTTCCGGGCAAACTTCAGCCGCCCCCTCCAGCCGCGGTACCGGCAGCAGCAGCCCGCAGCCCAGATCCGCACGAAGTATTCCACGCCAAACACCACGATGGTCACGATTTCCTGCAGGGGAGGCCACAGCTGAGCCGCGCAGGGACGGGCAGCAGCTGGAGTGGCATGGCCACGTGGTGTCGGGAGGGCCCTCCCCGAGCCTGGGGCAGCCCGGAGAGGGCAGGGGCCCCAGAGGTGCAGTCTGGATTGGGGAGGCCCCGTCACCGTGGTTGCCATGGCGCCTGCCCCGGCCCTTCAGGGGGTTGCTGGAGCGTCACAACCCGTGCCCCACCCACACCCACCTCTGCAAGGGAGCCCCCATGTCTCCACGGTGGAGGGGCCGTGTGGGCCCTCGGGATCCGTGAGAACAGCGGGGGGCTGTCAGGCACCATGACTCGGGGGGTGGGGACCAGGCCACGGCAGGCTGGGCGTTGGGGTGCTGGGGGGCTCCAGGTCCCCGTCCACCGCGCGGCTCACCAGGATGTAGAGTGCGCCCTCCGAGCTCTTCTCGTACTCTTTGATGGTGGAGAACACGGACAGCACGAGGCAGGAGAACACCAGCAGGAACCTGGGGCCAGGGAGGCGCCGTCAGCCAGGGGAGCTGAGGGGCGTGGAGCCAGGGCCAGCGCAGAGCCGAGGTGGCCCCAAGAACCCCCAGAACCACCCCACTCTGGCCCACACCCCTCATCTGTTTGGTCAGCCCTGACAGCCTCCCTTTGGGAAAGTCCCCAAAACTTAGAGGAAAAGGACGAGGCCCCGCCAAGCAGGGCCCCACCTGCCCCGCGGCGAAGGCGCCAAGTTTCTTAGTTCAGTTTCCTCCTGGGTCCAAGGCAAAAACTTCTGTCTTCTTGCTGATCCTGACCTTCACAGCCACCCCATGCTCTTGTCTGTGTCCGTGGGGGATCTGTCCCGAGTGACCCGGTGTCCGTGGGGGATCTGTAACCCGGTGTCCGTGGGGGGATCCGTCCCGTGTGACCTGGTGTCCATGGGGGATCCCGTCCCGTGTGACCCAGTGTCCGTGGGGGAATCCGTCCTGTGTGACCCGGTGTCCGTGGAGGGATCCTGTCCCGTGTGACCCAGTGTCCGTGGGGAGATCCGTCCTGTGTGACCCGGTGTCCGTGGGGAGATCCGTCCTGTGTGACCCGGTGTCCGTGGAGGGATCCTGTCCCATGTGACCCGGTGTCCGTGGGGGGATCCCGTCCCGTGTGACCCGGTGTCCGTGGGGGGATCCCGTCCCGTGTGACCCGGTGTCCGTGGAGGGGTCCTGTCCCGTGTGACCCGGTGTCCATGGGGGGATCCCGTCCCGTGTGACCCGGTGTTCATAGGGTATCCCGTCCCGTGTGACCCGGTGTCTGTGGACGATCCGTCCCGTGTGACCTCATGTCCGTGGGGGCACAAAGCACATGGCATGGGGAAGCTGCACACCCCTCTCACGTGTCCTCACCACCCGGACGCCCCATCATCCAGCCCAGCTCTATAGGCCCCAGGAGTCCAGACCATCAGCCTCCCGGTGAGCCAAGGCCACGCTGTCCCACCTGAGCCACAGAATCCCCATGGGGCTGGCCAGCCCCTCTGGGGAGCGTGGCCGTGGCAGAGGGTGGCGGGCACAGTGTTCCCTGACACAGTGCCCACGGAGAGACGGCACATTTCAAAGCCACAATTAATTTCCTTTGCTCATTAGCCAATTTATTCAATTAACCGAGCCCTGGAAAAAGTCCAGATGTCTCGTGTGCCTCTTCTTCGTGGCTGCCTGTCTGCCTGGTGCTGTTTTCTCCAGACCCAGCGGCGGGAAGGAGCCCGGTGTCCGGGGGACCCGCCTGGGTGGAGGATGGGAGACTCCAGGTGGGACCTGCGGGCTGGGTGTTGGGAGACTTGGAAGTCATCACCCAGCACAAAAGGGCGCCCGCTGTGCTGCGGGGGCCAGGGAATCATCACCCGCTGGGCTTCCCGGAAGAGGTGTCCACAAGGGTGCCCCGCGGGGTGAGGTGGAGCTGGCGAGGGCGAGACGCAGACGGAGAGCAGGCAGGGACATGCGTGGCACCAGCACCCCGTGCGGGACTCACAGGGCCAGGGCCGCGCCCACACGGCCACTCTGTGCCGCAGGGAACATCCCTCGGAAGCCCCAAGGCGACCAGGCCCTCCCAGCCCTGCTGCCTGAGGGCGGTGGGACCGGCTTCCAGAACGTTCCGATGGCCGAGCCGGCCTAACCGCACCTTCGTCCAGCAGGCAGTGCCCGGGGCCCGCGGAGAGGACAAGCCACCCCTCGCAGCAGCCACGCAGTGCGGGCCACAGCTCCAGGCTTGCTTCTGAGGTTTCGGAAACAGAGGGTCACAGACAGTGGGGGGCACCTCAAGGACTCGGGAGGGGGCTCCAGCACCCACGCGGAGGAGGAGGGTCAGGCAGGGGGCTGCGCGCGTCTGCCTGTCACGCGCCAGGGCACAGGGGACAGGCCCAGGAGAGGCCCCGCTCGGACCTGGGCTCCCCTCCCCTCCAGGCCCCTTCCTGTCTGTCAGCCGCATGGTGACCGCCGCCCACCCCTCCGGCCTCGCGGTCCTGGGCACAGCGTCCTCAGTGCCGGGACGTGTCACTCTGGTCCCGCCCTGGGGAGACGGATCTGCCCCAAGGTGGCACCTCCTGTAAGATGCTGTGGGGTAACCACCCGCAGCCCATCGGGGGGTTGCCCTGGGCAGAGCCGTTTCCCACAGAGGCGCTGCCCCTTGGCTCCACTGAGGCAGCATGTGTGCCCAGAGCGCTGACCCCTCGAGTCCCCAAGGACAAGGGCAGCTCGTGAGGACCTGGGTCCGCTTCACAGAGAGACAGAGAGAGAGAGACACAGAGAGACAGAGAGAGAGCGCGAGCGAGCGCAGGTGCGGGGCAGGGGAGCGCCCACTGCCCTGGACTAGATGCCAGCCTCGTCCTGCCCGTCCCCACCCGAGGGGTGTGTGCCACCCTCCAGCCCAGTCACCGTCCTGCTGCGGGAACAATGGGAGAGGGGAGCGTGGTTTCCCCAGCCAGAGGCTCATTACGATAATGAATTCAAAGCGGAGGCTGTGTGCTGTCGGTGGTTGCCAAGGAGACGAGCATCTGAAGCAGCTGGTCCCGATTCCAGGGGCCAAGACCCAAGACGGGGCCAGCAGGGCGGCCGGCGTGGGCAGCGGCCTCGGACTGAGCGCCCCCCTGAGCGGCGGGGCAGTGGCCCCGGGGCCCTCAGCCAGGCGTCAGGGGCGGCCAGGCTGGGCCTGAGCTCTGAGCAGAGGCCAGACCCCCTGGAAATGGGAGAATGGGGGGCGGAATCCTGAGAGCTGGGAGGCTGATGTAGGGGGGACAGCAGGGAGGGCCCAGAGCGGGGGGCGGGGCACGGGTGGTGGGGGCACCCTCCTCGATGATGACGGCCCTCGAGGTGGTCAGCCCCGGCCACACCTGCAGGTCCTGGGGTGTGCACTCTAACTGCCCTGCACGCTTCGGGGTGCCCCCACCCCTACCTCCAGGGAGAGACCCCTCTGCTCCTGTCTCGCCGCCCTCCTCCCCCATCTGAACAGGAAATATTTCTTTTTTGGGAAAGCGTGACACAGCCAGTGCGGCCTCCTCCCTGATCCCCCTCCACTGGGGAGAGACGGGGGCAGCAGGCGGGAGGGAGCCCCCACCCCCTCCCAAGGTCCCCCAGTCCAGACCCCCTCACTCCCTCCAAAGACTGACTCAGGAGATGGCTGGGCTTATTCATCTCGTTTTACATGTTTAAGGAAATAAACATTTGACAAGTGAATGGCAGGGGTGGGAGGTCCTGGCCCCCTTCCCACCCCTGCAGGCTGCTCTCAGGCGGAGCTGGGGAGGTGGGTGGAGAGGGGTCCCCGACATCGGGCTCCCCACAGGCTACAATTAGTGGCAACACCAGGCACACGACAACCCTAAGGGCTGGGAGGAGCTCTGGTCATTTTACACAGGAGGGACTGAAGGCTCTGACGCAGCTGGAGGACCCTGAAGGGTCGGGCCAGCCCCCTTCCCCGGCGGGCCTGCAGAAACTCCCCTCCCACCAAGACGTCCACTCGGACCCGAGCCCAGGGGCTGGGGGCAGGGTGAGCGCAGCCAGTGTGAGGCTGTGGCCAGGCCCCCTGCAGCCTGGTGGCCGGCTCCCTGGGGAACCCTGGGGAACCCTGGGGAACCCTGCTCACCACGTCCGCCAGGGCTACGGCTGCCGCCTGGAATCTAATTTCTCCCCCTAATAAACTGCTCTGCCCCGAGGACCCACTGACACTTCCAGTCTGAGAGCGGCGGAGGCCCAGCTGCTGACAGCTCGTAAACCAGGGGTGAAAAATCACTTTGCCATCCCGCAGGGGTGGGGGTGCACTCAGGAGATGGCTGCACACCCCTCTCTGGGGGCCAGGGCTCACCGAGGTGCGGCCCAGCGCCCCCACCCACTGAGCACCCGCTGAGCCTGCTCACGGGAAATGAGAGGTTCTGGAAGTTCCCACCCAGCCTGCGGGGTGTGGGGAGGGGACGCAGGTGAGCACCCAGGGCCCGCCTCCCACACGCCAAGTGCTGGGTGAGGCCTCGGACCTGAGAAGCCTCCACTCCGGGGGCCCCAGACCCTGGGACGGTCCAGCTCCGGGCCCAGCGCTCAGGCCTCCACCAGCGGCCTTGGTGGCCGTGCTCCACCCCCACCCGCTGGCCCCTCCTCCGCTGGCCAGACGGCCACCCCACGTCCACAGCCTTTGCACACAGACCCTCATCCAACCAGGGCGGGAAGGTGCCCCCCACTGGCCAGTGACACCAGGAGGCCAATGTCCTCCCAGGCTTGGGCCACGGGTTCTTCCCAGGGTAGGGGCTGTGGAGGTCGGGGTCCTGCCCTCCCCCAGAGAGAGCGGCATCCTGGTGAAACCTAGGTGCTCCAGGCTGCGGGCAGCGTCCGGAGCACCCAGGCCGGGCAGGAAACCGCTGTCTCAGCATGCGGTTCAGGCCGTTCCCCAGGTGCCCCCCAGTGGATCCCCAGAGACAGTGACTGTGCACTGGGTAGTCTGTTCCCCATGGGTCACCTGTCCACACACAGACACAGGGCTGCACACAGGCCACCCGAATGCTCTCCCCACCCCACATCTGAGCCACCCACCGCCTGCCCACACATCTGGACCCAGCACCCTGTCCCCAGCCTGGGCTCTCCCCTGCACCCCTGGGTCTCCCCCCTCAACCCTGCTCATACGCAGCTCAGCTCTTCCATCCAGATGCCTTGACTGTCCCATCCCTCCAAGCCCCCATCTCAGCCCCTGTGACCCCCACTGAGACCAGAGGAAGGGCGCCCCCCCCCCTCCTGCCTGTCTCTCAGCCTCACCAGGCCAGCTTCCCTGCCCCAGGGCCTTTGCACACATGCCCCCTGCTGCCTGGAATTCTCTCCTACCCCCACGTCCATCACACAGCCGCCTTCTCCTCATCAGGTTTTGCTCTCCACATCACCACCTTCGACAGGCTGCCCAGTCCCCAGGGTCCTGACCCCCCCCGCGCAGGGGGCCGCCGCTCTCCTTGTCTGCTCTGCTCACCCGGCCCACCAAAGGCACAGCAGAACCTACGTGTGTCCTG